CGGGTCGTAAAGTGGACCAGATAAAAGATCAATTGTGCAGTCACAGCAGCTACACCGCAGGCCACTTGACTGAGAACGCTTTGATTGATATTATCAAAGGGCGTATACCAATAGAGTTAATGGCCATTATATTCCTACCAGATAACGATGCTGATAATGGCCGCGGATCTAAGCAGTTGCCACGGCTCAAGTGCGAAATGGGATATTCGATTTCCAGGCCACGCCAGGATAATATTTATGGGGAGAGTGCGAGAATACTGCCTATGCTCGGAATATTAAAAATGCATAAATACATCAGCGACGATGATATGTGAGATACTTTCCTTGTTGTTGCTGGCTGAGTCTGTCTAGTTGGCACTTGTTAGTGCTCCAGGCAAACCCATTTTTGGGCACCATAAATATGTCAAAATAATGTTAAGCCAAGGGCTTAAGTGTGCGCCACACATACATAAATATACATATATGTGGATATTCTTTTTCAGAATATTTACAGAGTCTCGTGGGATACACAAACACATACGAACAACAAAAATGTATATTGCTCGGTTAATTTGAACCTTATAGAGGTTTTATATACTGTGGTTATAAAAAACTCATTATATTTGTATTTCCAAGTTAATATACCCTTGCAGAAGGTATTACACTTTTTTCATAAAATAAGTAACGCTTGGAAAAATATATTTTCATTAATGGGATTCTCTATAATTGAAACCGCAAAAGATATTCTTCTCTTATATTCTGAGCATACGCCGAAATTTGGTAATCAAAATTCTATATTATATATTAATATATTATTTGTTCATCATTCATAAGAACTCTTTATTGTTTAAAAAAAATTATTCTCACATATATAATTTTCTACATATTGGACAAATAGAGCTTCAAATATCTAGAAGTAAAAATGAGTTTTACTATTTGTTAGGCTTATATATTGTAAATACACCAATTAAGAAAAAATCTGTATGAAAATTTTAGTTTTACGGAAACTGTTTAATTTGTATATAAGTTGTTGCTTTGGAAGGGTATTTGATACTCGTATCATTCCATTAAGTTTGTTAAACTATTTTATTGTTTTTCCAGTATATTTGGGGTATCTGATATTTTAAAGATGGACTGCTCCACGATGCGGCCCATTACCAGTTGCAATTCAAGTGTGAAACGCAGCACCTAAAACACACACACATACACACACACACGTAGAGGGCAACCAGTATTATCCTTTTGGGATACAGCTCGCAGATCTGTAATAAATCACATCATTAGCATCTCGCACTTGTGCTGCCTGACATTTTCCATGGCTCATTGATGATTTATGGAAACTTGGAAACCACTCTGATCACAGATTTGTTTGTTGACACGCACCTACTCTTGAACCAGTCACAATTTACATAGTTTTAAGGAAATTATAGATATATGTATATATACTTATAGTAGTATATATCTTTAACCCTGACTTGCTTGCTTGCGCTGTTGTGGTTATAATTCACATATACTAGCTAGTTTTTTATACCCTGAACCCATTGAAAATGGGAAATCAGGGTATAATGGTTTTGTGAAAAAGTATGTAACGGGCAGAAGGAGGCGTGGCAGACCCCACAAAGTATATATATTCTTGATCAGCGTGACGAGCTGAGTCGATATAGCCCTGTCCGTCTGTCCGTCCGTCCGTCCGTCCGTCCGTCCGTCCGTCCGTCCGTATGAGTGCGTCGATCTCAGAAGTTATAAGAGCTAGAGAGCTGAAATTTGGCATGCATACTCGTGTGTACCATACGCAGTACGAGTTTGCTTTATTTTTTCGATAAATCGTCCGATAACTTTTTTATCGAGAATAATCGAAAAATTGATTTTGTTTTTTTAGCCTAATTTGAACATTTTTAGACCTGGAGTCTTCAAATTTGTNGTGTATGTATGTGTGCATAAAAGAAGTGCAGAATGATTAGAATATCAGCTTGGAGGGTTCAGGGTATCTCCTAGTCGAGCAGTCTCGACTGGAGCTTTCTTACTTGTTTTAAGGTCATTTACCGTTATTAGCATTTGTACCCAATGCATTTAGTTTTAAGGCTTACACACGTTATCAGAAGAAACAAAGCATGACGTTTGCCAGTTGGGCATACACTAAAGGGGGTCAAAAGTTCTTGTCGCCAAATGTGAGAACTTCCAGTGCAACATGTGGGTAAAACTTATGTATTATAGATCCACTGAAACAGACAGAGTTGAAGATCAGTAAATTAAAAAATACTTGTTTAATATATGTACATATATTAATATATCTGGATCTTTAACATTTACTTAATGAAACTCAATGATTTTAAGTGTATTTTTAATGTAATTAGTCAATATAGCTTCATAATACTTAATGCTTAATATAATTAAAAAAAAGAATTTCAGAAGAACAATTTTAGACTGTTCCAGTTAAATTAAATTTGAGCCTGGACATGCTTGAAACGCGTGTTAAGAAATGTGACGTCTATGCAAGGTTAAGGTTAAAGTTCCATATAAATCACATACACATGCAACACAGCGAGCTGAATATTGAAAATGAAAAAAGTCCGCGCAAATGTGACTTATAAAAAATTGAAAATTTGTTAATGAGGCAGAACGAAAAAAATAAGTACATATACATATGTATGTACATATATGCATATATTTAAATAATGGACATGAATTATGTTTACGTATACATTTTAATATTTATGTATATATAAAGAGTATATATGTACTTATTGTAATTGGTAGCGTTCAGAGAACTGAGTGTAAACAAGAATCGTACGTCGGCCTGTGGCATGTGTTTCAGACCCTAGTGGGAGCCTAGCGATCAGTCTCATCTGTTATCAGTCTAAAATATTTCACTTTTTTCATTTTTATTCATGTATAAGTATGATTTTAAAATTGCCACAGAGGTTAACTGAAATCAGAGACAGCCGACGACCCACTTGAGAAGTTGCCTACTTTTTAGTTGAGCCTCGTAAAAATGTTGTCGAAATGTCCAAACAGATCGTTGGTGCCGCCTATTCAAATAACGATAAAAATGTCATTAAAAATTCGGAGATCTTTTACGACTCTCCTGCCCGTCCTGGTTCAAATATAACAATATTTTAATCAGCCATTAGAACTGGGCTCAAGTACATAGACGCATTGTCGTCATCCATAGTAAGTTTTATGACTTTTCGACAATATTTTGGCGCGTCGTCTAGGGAATTGGCAAAAGAGAGCGGCACAAGTGCAACATAGGCTTTCTTATAGTTTTCACTTTTCTTTCAATGTTTTCTTAATTTTCTCACGGCGCCTTTCGCGTCGGCTCCAGCCCCTCTTGTGGCATATCCTATGAAATTCAACACGCGTCTCGTACGTTACTCGATTTTATGTTTCTGTCCTGCTTGGGTATGGAAAATACTCTATATACGCATGTTGTTTAAATTTTTACAAAATTTAGATTTTGAATTCTCGCCCTTGTTATACAAATTACAATTTTACGCACAATTTGAGGAAGTCGCCATGAAACGTTTCGTGGATATTATCCAGATCGAAATTAATGACAATATGCTAAAGATTTTAAATTTGTCTAAGTATTCGATTTTGGGCTCTACTCATATTTATAATTTATTACCCTTGTTAGGTAATTTTATTTTATAATATATTTTATATTATATTGGGGTTAAGGGAGTCTGGTCATGTGGCTCATCTTCTCTCTGGTAGGCCTTGACCGTCATTATTGCTATCTGCCAAGTTATTATGCCAAGCGATATATCAGTTAGTGGTAGTGGTGTTGTATTTAAAACAAAATGTAGCATAAATAGTTATTTAATGTAATATGTGTAAAAAAAATTCTTTGTATTCATCTATCTGGAATTTGTGTGTATAATGCGCAGTTGTTAGACAGTTCAATTGGAATTATTAGGATTATGGATGTATAAAAAACTCTTTCCTATATTTTAAATATAAAAACTTATTTTAACTGTTGATTTTTTGTTGTTTGACTGTTAATTTTTTTTACAATAAAATGAGGTGAACGAGTTTATTAATCAAGAAAAGCTTATATTAACAATTTTATACTTAAGTAAATACGCTAGTGAGACCATGAGACCATAAATCTCTTCCAAATCTTTTTAAGAAATTTGTTTTGTTTTAAATGTTTAACTTATACAATACAAATGGTACAAATGCACTGAATATGTCCATGTATACATTATTCTATATGCATATGCACATATGTACATATATATAAGTACATATTCATGTTCATATGTATTTATATACATATGTATGTACGCTAGCAACAGCCAACCACAACAACGACATTAAAAGCAACAACAACAAAAKAACTACACTTAAACAGCACAATAACAAATTTGCCTTAGCAGCAGGCCCGGCTTGGTCTGCCTCCCTCGTGCGTTGTGTTGCGTTAAGAGGCGTTGCTTAAAACTGCTGCTGGGTGAGCGAGAAAGAGAGAGAGAGAGAAAGACAGCTGAAACAAATGACAAAGCAGCCTACGGTATGGACGAATGTGCGATAAGGTCGGTTGTCAGCAGGCAATTGCAGCCGAGCCAACAACAAGAACGATGTTCGAACTTCGAAGAGCGCGCCAACAAAAACTTAGAGCACTGAAGTGAGCTCCAAAGAGCGCGAGAGAGTTGGAGAGAGCGAGCGAGTGAGAGTGTCAAAGTGAGCGCCAGTGTACTTCGTAATTGCTGGTGTGGWCGCTRCTGCTGCTGTTGTTATTGCTGTCGCGCGCGGGCATTAGAGGCTGTGCACAGAAACAGAAACATGCATAATGATTATGATTATAATATAACGGCATGTAGAGCAAAGGCAAAGTGCAAAGCACAAAATGTAATTGTATGAATGGAGGCAAAAACAAGTGTGAGGAGAGCACCCCAAAGGCRAGAGAGTTTGGGATTTGCTTTTGTGCTTATTCCATCTACATACTTTATATGAATGTATATATATATATACGTATTTATATATGTATATATTTATATATTTGAATGTATTTATGTATTTGAATTTGTGTAGTGTCGTTTTAAAAACACTTTTTGTATGATTTTTGTTCGTTTCGAAATTAAGCGTGTGTCGAGCTCAGTTTGTATGAAAAACGCGCCGGACTCGGACACGTACGTTTATCAGCGCGGATCATTGAAAACTTCTTGGCGAGTACGCCTGCCTGGCAAAGTGTCTACAAGCTGAAARGGGCTTAGCTTAGCTTACGCTGCTTACACTCTCCTGTGTGTACTGTGGACGTTGGCTATCATGACAAAGACTAGCAAGTCCAAGGAGAAGGACAAGAACAGTGCGCTGCCCAGAGKGCCCAGCAATTTGTTGGCGAGTGCTGCCAAAATGAAGATCACCAAAGCGCTGGCAAATGCCAAGAAACAATCTGTGCAAAAGGGCGCAGGGGGGGACCAAGCAACAGGATCAAATACTGAAGCAGGCAAAGGCACAGCCACAGCCACAGCCACGACCACAACTACAGCCATAGCATACGGCCAAGCGCAACAGGCGGTCGCTACGAAAGAGACGACAATATCGGCGCAGGAGAACGGCGACAGCGGCGACGCGCACAAGCAGCAGCAGCAGCGTCAACAACAACAACAACAGCAGCAGGCAGCGACGTCGACGTCGCCGTTGTCGCCGCTTGCCACAGCGAATTTATCGTCGACATTTGAGTCGAAGGCTCACACATCAGTTGCCAGCGAAACAGCGAAGCAAACAGTTACTACCGCAACAACAGCAACAGCTACAGCAGCCGTAACAACAACAATCGCAAATATTTTAGTTTATGATGGGAACAGCGTAAGACAACAACAACAGCAACATCAGCAGGCCAGCAGTTGTGACGTCACAAATACTAAAGTTGTTGCAGGCGAAACTGCTAATTGTAATCAAGATAAAGACGATCCTAAAGCCGAAAGCGAAACGAAGCTAGACACACCAGCAGCAGCAGCAATAACAGTAACAACWAGCGATAAATATTACAAAATTGTTGATAAGTGCAAAAGTGAGATAAGTGATGAAAACTCAGCAACAACAAACGCTGAAATTTTGCCGGTAGCAGTGATAAATAGTAATCAGCAAAGCGACGCAAGTGAAAGTGTTGACAACAAAATCAAAAGTGAATCAAATGAGCAAGAACAAACTGCAACAGCAACATTGACAACAGCAGCAACTGCCGAATTGCCGCTACATTATCGCGGCCTAAACAACTCGGTGATCATAGCCAACTATGCTCATCAGCAGCAACAGCAACAGCAGCAACAGCATCAGCAACAGCAACAACAACAAGCAGAGCAACAGCAAATCTACGAGCAGCAACAGTTTCTGCAACAACAACTGCTAACCCAACACCAACACCACCAGCAGCAACAGGAGCAACATCAGCAACACGCCAATTGGTTAGCGTACAATAATTGTGCGTACGATTTAACTAGCAATAGTGCAACAGCAGCAGCAGCAGCGGCGGCCGCAGCAGCAACACAGCAGGATAAGAGCGACTTTTATGCATTGGCTGCCTCGCAGCAACTGCTGGCGCATTTACCCTATCATCATACCCATTTGTAYGAGCAGCAGCTGCAGCAGCAGCAACATCACATTAGCAACAGCAGCAACAACACGGATTCCATAATGCGCAACAATTTTGCGCTTTACAGTGTTTATGGAGGAGGCGGTGGCGGTGGTGGTGGCGGTGGCGTTGGCAGTCCTACCACCCACGAGCAACATCAGCTCCAGCAACACGTTGCCGCAGTGGCAGCAGCAACCGCCAATTCGGTAATCGCGCACACAACGCACACGACGCCAAATATTGATGAAGTTATACAGGATACGCTGAAGGACGAGTGCTTCGATGATAATCACAGCTCCAGCTATCACATGCTCACCGCTGTTTCCGATATGCACGTGCTCAAGGAGGCTAATCCAACTCTTTACTCTATGACACACGATCAGTTGATGCAACAGCAACATCTGCATCAGCACCAGCAACATCTGCACCAGCAGCAGCATCATCAGCATCATCATCACAACAATTCAGCCAGTTCGGTGGGTGGCGATTCGCCGTCGCCCTCCCACACGCTCGCCACACATGCCAGCGATGTGGCAACGCTGCAAAGCTTCACACAACTAACGAGCGCGCAGCCCAGCAGCGGACTGCATCGCGACAGCTACGGCAGCCTCTCGCCGGAGCACGGCAACTACTTTACCACACAGCTCAGCCCGGTACTGCAAAGCAGGTGAGTCCCAATCAATATCCCCCCAACTCCCTGTGTCTCCCTCTCTCTCTCTCTCACTCTTACTGCCCCAAAGTGAGCTCATTATTCGTTGCCGCCTCGCACGTGCCTTTCGACGAAAAACGCAGCGCCGCATCGACGACTCGCACAGCCAAAAGTCATGATCAACAATTGTTGTTGTTATTGTTGTTGTTATTGTTGTTGTTGTCATCGGTTTCTGATTCATGTTGTTTATTTTTTTCCAACTTTTTTTTACTATTCTGACTTTGATTTTGTGTTACGTTTCTTTATACTCGTCATAGGTAATAATAACAACGGCACAAATGTCACAATTGTTGCACTTGTTGTTTGCCTGCCTGCCCATAGACTTTACGCTAGGTCCCCTTCCACTTCTACCAATATATGTATGTTTAGATTTACATATATATCAATAAATGGTATATATAGTATGTATCAAGAAATGTGCATTCCGTTGGGCCGGCGAAAAATCTGTTCCGTGTTGCATCTTACTGTGGGGCGTCTCACACCCAGTCGCCTGCTTTAACTGACTTTGGAATGTTTTTCTACATTTGTTTTTCTACAGTTGTTTTTCGATTTTTTGTCATGCACATTTTCGCATTGCTACGCAGAACTCTTGAACCGAACCGAAGCACAGACATATTTACATCTACATACATAGATATAAACAGTTAGTTAGGGCAGGTTAAAGTATAAAATTGTATATATCATATGGTATATGTATTAATATAGCCGTAAAAATATTTGAGATCAGAAAATATTTTGTTTATTTGCTTTAGGCTAAAGCAAAACATAAAATTGTTCCTTCATTGCCAAGATTATTCACACCCAAAGGTCGACTTTTAAAGAATCAGCTGACGCTTATTATAGACTATTATTATTTTGATGCGTTTTGATAAGGCTCTTATTAAAATTTTAAATCAAAGTTGAAAGCCCATTTATTTTATAAATATTATTATTTGTTTATTTTTAAAATATTGAATAATATAAAGAATTTATTTAATCTTGGGTTTTAGTTGGTTTGAGTTTATTCTAAGTTACTCAAACATATTACTATAATCTACCTTCTTGTGGAATGCAAAATTGATTAATTTCAATGCCAAGTAGAGTGCTTTAGAGATTTGTCTCTCTAAAGTACCTTCAGCTCGATCAAAATAAACTAACTCAAAACAAAACTTTTTATTTGCACGTATTTTTATACATATCCGTTTACAATTTCACATTGTGGATTTTCAGAGACGCGCCTTTCAGCCATTCAGAGCTTCCTTCAAATAAAAAAAAAAAAAAAGAAGCGAAACAACAAAATCCAAAGGCAAGCAAAATATTGTAAACGTTCGCTCCGATTTCATAAACAAATCCAAAAATATCATGCAGTGTGTTAATTGCGGTTATTACGGACGTTGGGGCCGCGTTTGAGCCGTATTGCTGACTCATGAGCCTGCCCCCGAGTTGCACACACACACACACACATATACTCATCTTTGTCTCCCTTACGCGTCATCCATCTGTCTCTATCGATTGAATCATGAATTTGGGGGTGTCACACACATGTTGGACTTTTGCCTAGGTTGACTAACTGAGGCCCACAGAATGTGGCCCACAAATAAAAAAATAAAAAGAAGAGCTTACAGTCATGCTGGTTGGGTGCAACACGTGTGCGCACGTGCCACACACTTACCGAGTGTGGCATATGCCAAAGGGGGCATGACCCGCATTAGGTGGCAACATCAAACAAGCGTTTGACTAAAAACCTGCACTCCACAAATGCAACAAATGTGCAATGAAAGCGCATTTTTCATTTTCAACTTGCTCTGCATATTCGGTTGCAAACTGCTTACGTGTGCCTGTGTGTGTGACTTACAATGAGAGAGAGACAGAGAGAGTGACAGAGGAGGATACCCAATGTGTAGCACCTCTATGTGGCTCTGAGACTTGCGACTTGGACTTGGACGGCGTAATTCAAAGCCGCCTTCTGACATAGAAAACTGTAAATGACACAGCTTCAAAACACACCAAAACACATTTGGCTCGACTTCGTAGGGTAGTCGTAGACGCGGCAGCCACTGAGTCAGCATAGTGTGCCTCACTCCGCTACGGCAGCAACCCTGGCGACGAGCCTCTAATATTCGGCGGAGCTTAAAAAGAAACTCCCTAGACCCGCACAATGCGCTCGCCCGATTAACTTTGTTTTGTGTTTCTCAATATTTTTGCACTTTAGCATTTCTCTTTGCAAAGTTTTAATTGGAAAACGTGTTTTGCATACACACAATTACACGAAACTAGCCATAACAAATTGTACATGGCAATACTGTATACATATAATATTGTATATATGTATACTATATTACTCTATGTAAGGTACCTTCTACTTAGTGCCCGTATACATGTCAAATTGTACACAAATTGTCAATAAAGCCAGGTTTATGCTCTAAGTGGAGGCTCTATTTACAACAAAATTGGCTATTTCTAGTTTCTAGACTGAAGCCCTGTTTAGACTTAAAAGCTTTGTCAAGAACTATATTTATTTAGAGCACTAATAAGGGAGCTTAAGTAGAATTTTGTTTAAGGCAGCCTAACACAAACAAAGAGAGAACCCAAACAAATTTCATTGAAGTTGAAGTCTTCTACAGGATTGTAGTATTTCTTTTAAATAGTATCAGAAATAGTTCAGTCGTTATATTTTATTTCATATTTGTATTATTTACTAAAAATTAGAGAGAAGCTTGCATATCAGCAATCAATTTTCAAAGCCTAAAATGCTGTTTATATAGCTGCTTGTCGTATTGTGTAGTTCTATTATATCACTCCTGCTTTCTCTCTTTCTTTCTCTCTTTATATACATAATCTGCATGCACCCCACATTAGCCAATTTTATTAGGTTCTGTATTAAGGTGCTAAATCTCCAAATATATTTTGCTTGGGCTCTCAATCTCTTAATTCTTAGCGTTTGGGGCTGGCGGGAAAGACCGGACGGAGTGGAGCTGGGTGACGAGCGCGCGTATGTGACTTTTGGTCAGTTTGTTGCGGCAGAAACCAGAAGAAGATACGAGATACGGTGGCTAGCTCACATATTCCACATGGAAAACAAGAAGTCTGCGCTAAATACTCACCTGCAACAAACAGCCACCACAAGAACATATATACACACACATATATATAATATATGTATAGATATATACAGCAACACTTAACTGAGCACTGATAAAATAATATCGTGCATTTTTATTGTCTTGGCACTTCCTATGTACAGAGAACGTTTCCAAACAGCGTGCGACATCTCAAGCTTCTTATATATGCTTACATATATATATACATATATATATGATGAAGTATATTCATTATATGGGCAATTGTAATTGTTATATTTAAAGATTTGTCATGCTTTTTTATATTATATTATAATATTTGTTATTGTTGTCGCTATCAGTGCGCGTGAGTATCTAGCTKYAAATGGCTTTAAGCCAAACTGGCTTGGATTTAAAATTATAGCATGCACTTAATATTGCAAGAATTGCCAAGATTCTATACCATTAAATAATACAACATGGGCTAAATATAATTATATGCTTATATCATGGTTACATGATAAATACATGAGTTCAACTTTAATAAATGATTGAGCTTTATCAATATTATTATGAATATGTATAATATTACAATATGATATGAATACTAATGGAATATAGTCGCAGCTTTGGCTCTAATTGAATCACTCCAAGCCACTATTATCACTTACTTTTTTTACTAGCGATTCTAAGATCTTAAATAGGCTAACATAAGAGCCTTTTTGAATACTTAGCATGTTCATCCTTATGATATTTTATTTACAGCACAAAATTGTAATTGTAAATTGTAATGTTACACATTCCATATTGTGTATAAAATGAATCTATATAATATAAGTCGGCGGCATATGTTACCAACTGAAAGCGTATTTTGTTTAGATATTTTGCACTGACTACTTGTTGGCTTAAGCAGCAACAAGAACAACAACAATAATAATAGTACTTGGCAGCGACGCTGGCAGAGCGGAAAAAAGCGTCAACTGCAACTGGCATAAAACTAAACCCGACTCAATTCATTATGCAAACGCGCGTGCCCCGTTTCGGTTGTTGTTTCGTCTGACCAGTTGAGTGTATTTTGGCGTTGCAAACATTTCAAAAATAAAAAAAATTAAAAAATTAAAAGAAAAATATGTATTAAATATTTTATATATGTGTGTGCTTATGTGTCTTAAAAAGTTTTCCTGTTGATACAAATCGAAATAATAATAATAATAGTATTTGATTTCTCAGTTCAAACAAAGGGCCGTAAAAGACAATAGACAATATTATTGATTGATTTTCATTTATTTTTTATGTTTGAAAACAAAAAATTACCAAACATAATATTTACTTTTTTTTTATTGCTTGTGTGTGTGTGTGTGTGTGTGTAAAGGATTGCCTTCTCGTTTACGATTTTTTAACTTCGGCTATTTTGTGTTGCTGCCACGCTTCTGCCACAAGAACTTCCGATCTGACACAGAGACTTGCAAGTCAGTCCCGAAACGCATTTGTCCCGTTCGCAGTTTTGCCTGCCACGCAGCTTTGTTTATGCCACAACAAACCCTAAATAAAAAAACAAAAAAAAAACGAAAAACAAAAAAATTAAGAAGAGACGACACAAGAGGCCAAGTGCAGCGAAAATATTTGCACAGGCTACCGTTGAAACAGAGTGTCGCAGGGAATTTGAGTTGCATAAACAAAAGCCGAAACTCTTTTATTTTTAATTAAAACTTTTATGGGTCCACCCACACACACACACACACACTTCTCCTTATAAACATGCAAAAAGTTAACTCCGGTGGTCTAGCAACAGCAACGACAACAACAGTACTCTGTTATTTAAACAATGCAATGGAATGTTATTAACAGTTTCATTTTACACAAGCCGCGTCTTAACAGTACTAGCAACATCAACGCCCAGCAATAAACGTAGCTATAACAGTAACATACAGATCATCAGCTGTTAAAATCGCCCGTAAAACGCGCACAAATGCAAACAGTGCGTTTTTAATCGCGCTGTACGAAACATTTTTATTAAAAATCGAAAAACGAAAATTAGTTTAGTCAGCCGCAAAATGTTTTTCTCCAACTACAATAATATGTATTTAAAGAACTACTGCTATAGGTAAAATACAAAATATTTATTAATTATAATAAGC